ACTATCGATGGGAGTTGGGAAATGCAAAGTCAGTCTTGGCTTTCCCGCTAACTTGGAGCATGTGCATGTAAATTTTGCTGCAAATCCGTCGAAAATTCTTGGCTGTGCATTCAGTTACACACATCCTGCTATATATATATATATATATATATATATATATATATATATATATATATATATATATATATATATATATTTTTCTCCAGCATTCTTACCTTCTCTTTTTCCTTATCTCCTCTCACTTTTTGCAGATTCCTTCCTGCTTAATAGCATTATTTTTTTTTTATAGTCAAAAGGCCTAAATGATTCCAGATCATAAGGATGCATATTCCAGTGCAGATACTACACTGATTGGAAGTAGAAAAACTTAATAGTTGTACATATGAACAAGAATAGGATTGAATACTATTTTTCACAAAAATGAATTTAAGTTTTATAGAACAAATTATTGATAAACAAGAATGCTTGTTTAAAAAAGTGGAGATGTTATTATGCATAAGGATTAAACAATATTTTATGTAAAAAAAGAAAAATGAATATACAAATGTTAAGTCACAGAATATAATAAATAGCATACTCTAAAATATTAGAAAGAGAGGAACAGAAAGGGGGGGGGGTCAAAGCAGGATTTCAACTCTTATCCTTCCCATTACAAGTACTTTTATAGGCAAACAAAAAAGACAAAATTCTTACTCAAGGTGAAATTTGTAAAGAAACAATTTAACCAAATGACAAAAATCTTTGAAGATATATATACAAATTACAATATAGGCTTTTGTGGTTAATATGCATCAATACAAACTCAAGTGAGGACCCGGATCACATGCAGACATATTAAACTCATTACATCTGAGTTTTCCCCACCCATTAGCAGTGGGACAGTTTGGCATATCTAGATATGGGCCTATATAACAATAATAAAAACAACAAGAAAACCAGCAGTCAGCAAAACATGGTGTCTTGTGAAGTCAGTCCTGTGAGCATTTTGTTCCTAAAGTTGCTGTGGTTGCCAAGGCAGTATTTTTTTTTTTTTTTCTTACCTGCTGTCTCTTTTCCTTCTCTGCCTATTACCCCCCATAGTTGCCAGGAGAGAAATTGGTTAGGTGCTCCCCCCAACCTCAACATACTGTTGTCATACATTACAACAGCCTTGCACAAAATGTCTCTTGTGCACCTCAAACTATAAAGACAAGTTAACAGTTCTTTCAAATTTCTTAGAAAATATCAGTACATGTAAAGCAAATGCTTTCCTTAACAAAAGGAACTTCTTTCGCAGCAAAAGTTTATATAAATCAATTTCTTAGCAACAAAAGAAATTTACTTACTTTGAAAACATTACAATTCAAAATGTTGAAGGTTCAAAGTTTGATCTACCTCATGTAAAGCTGATTTTCTGTGTCCATTTGACAAGTATTTAGATTTTTGGAACAGGTGTTCTCAAATTTGAGATAAACTATTCTCACACTCACAGGTTTATAAAGGACATATGAATAAGATAAGCTCATAAAAGTCATTCACATCTGAGATAAAACTCAAATTTAGAAAAAATATTAACATATCAAATTTAGGGGATTCTTTTTCTACAACAGTAGTAGCAGCAGACTTTTACCCTCCCAGGTCACTGCATCCTTTTCTCCCAGATGACATGCAAGATATAGTCTATTCCTTTTTGCCCAGATCACAACTTCTACATAGCCAGTTGAGGCTGTTTCTTTACATCAGAACGAAGTCCATCCTGTAAAATTTTGCCATGGAAAGTTTAAAATGTCTGGCTTCTGGCTTCATTTTGTCAACTTTTTTTCCCTAAATATTTACATACCAATTGCATCTATTTTTTTTCTTTATATATATATATATATATATATATAAGATATTTTTGTAGGTGCAAAATTTAATGATCGAAATAAAAGTATAAAATTTAATATTACAAGACATATTAAACAATATTAAATAAAATAAAAACACAACAACGACGAAATTAACTTTATTAAGGATACCCTATGTAATTTAGGTTATCCTCCTGATACTGTTAATTCAGTTATCCGCAGTAAAGTTGAAGAGTTCAGAAGTGCCGATCTCTACACTGTCAAAAAATGCCCAGTTTACCTTAGATTACCCTGGATTGGTACCAAATGTGACAAAATAGCCAAACAAATTTCATCAAAGGTTCGCTGTTGCTTTTTCTCTGCTGAAGTTCGGATTATTTTTCAAACTCGGCCTATGTTTCGAGCTGTGTGTAAAGACGTTCTCCCTCCCCACCATATTAATTCAATTGTTTACAAATACGTTTGTAGTTGCGGAGTCAACTACATAGGGAGACCAACTCAGCGCTTAGACATGAGAATAAAGCAGCACGTTCCTACTAAAATTAGAAACCACACCCTACCTTTGAATGGACTCGTCCCGAACACCTACAGTTCCGCCATATGCGAACATCTTTTAAATAGCAGAGATTGTGCAGCCAAATCTAGTGTTGACTGGTTCACTGTGTTGGCCCGGTCACATTCTGTATTTCATCTGAAGGTTCTGGAGATGCTTTACATCGGGTCCCGCAAGCCTTCTTTGTGCAAACAACGTGAGTGTTTGCTGGGACTTGCTGTCATCTGCCTCTAGTTCCTTCTTGCATATATATATATATATATATATATATATATATATATATATATATTTTCCACCTATTCTTATTGTACATTTTTCTGTTTTAATTTTGAATCTCCCATGGAAGCCTGAAGAGTGGGAGCGAAACCAGTTGCTCCCCCGTTGTTGTGTTTTTTTATTATTTAATATTGTTTAATTTGTAATATTAAATTTTATACTTTTATTTCGATCATATATATATATATATATATATATATATATATATATATATATATATTAAATCCATAAGTGGTAAGGATAGATCTGGTCTGATGAGGCAGTTGTCTGCCTGAAATAAATTATTACCTGACTCTTTAATGATGTATTGAGCTTTTTTCCTTTGATGTACATGTGTGTGTACATCTACCTTCATTTTTCAAAGAAACTATGTTAGTAACATTCTAATTTTCTTAATTAGTTTTTTCCTACCATTTAATATTATGAAGGACATTTATTTATGCATGGTAACCTGTAAGGTTAAAGGTCAATATCTCTTCTAACCCCTCTGTTAAAAAGTGTATAAAAATGAAAAATTAAAAGAAACATGAGCAGAGCAATAATCAAGACATTGGTATTTATTATTTACATTCAGACTATTGTCTTTATCTTTGTTGTTATCACAAAATTTTGGTCATTGTGCCCTCTGGCTTTCATCAGGTGTATATCAATCCGGGTAAAAAAAAAACAAAAACAAAATAAACTTGATTTTAGTGCCAATTTATTTTTGCCTGCATTTGCAGTGTAATTCTGTTTATTAAGAATAAGATATTTTCCAAAAATAAAATACTTTTCTGAAACTTTATTCGAGGAATATTAGCTGATCTAAATCATTAATTGGATTTGAACATATTTATTTTAAGTTTAAAATGTCGCAGAAATGCATTTTTTTTTTTTTAACACAGTGGTAGCTGTTTTAGCCGTTGACGTTTTTGACAGATTGATGTTTCTGATGTTATAGGGGTGTTTTAGCTGTAAAAAAAATGATTGAATATAACGTGAGAATCTTTTATGTAATTTTTAAGTACTCAATCTTAAAAATTTAATAAAATATTCCCCGTAATCTATTGGATTTCAGAAATTTTGGCTTTAAATTTACTAAAGTTATCAGTGATCACTCATATTTTCTGATAATGTCGTTTATAGTCGTCTGTATCTACAAAAATCGCTAAGTTTATATACATAAAAAAATTCAAAATTCTTTTCAAAACATTGGTGTTTGAAGTTTGATGATTTGTACTGAGCTTTCTCATTTATGAAAAGTAAATAGAGCTTTTTTTTTTCTTTTTACTTAATAATAATAAAAGGGTGCACCGTGAAATTAACATGAATTTAAACAATTTAGACTTGAATTATTCTAAATTTAAACAAAAATGAACACAATTCTAGGGAAAATTCATTATTCATCGAAAATTTTTTCATAAAGGCAGTAGTCTCCTTATCGTATTTAAAATTTAAAAGCAATTAAAAACTTTTAAATGTCTCAGTCCAATTGCATTTTTTATTTTACGATTCAGAGCAGATTTCTGGTAAATGAGTTTGACAAATTGAGGATTTTACAAATTCTCCAGGGAGTCCTGCTTTTTTTTTTTTTTTTAAATTTTAACTAAAAAAAGTGAGTGAATCATTTGTGAATAAGTCCTGAAAATTGTAATTTAATGTAAACCAATGTGGGCTTTGATTTTTTTGAAAATTATTCTGAATTTAAGACTAAGTTAGGTTTCGTTTACTGAATCATTATTATTATTTTTTTTTCATATTACTCTTCAGACGGGAAAAAAGTAGTTAAAGACGGTAATTTAGAATTATTTCCTTTTCGAACATCCATAGAGAAAAAAAGTTTCACACTCGAAAATGGCATTTAACTTTACAATACATTTTTCGAACATGACATCATTCATGAATTCCTTCTCACGAACAGCACTGAAAAAATAGCTCATTTAATTTAAAATAAGTGTGTAATTTTTTTTCTGTCAAAACTGAAAGAAAAAGTGCCTGAAATGTAAATATTTTTTCAACTCAGATACTTAACTTATTAACTTTAACAATCGAATCCACTTAAAACTTAAAAGGAAGTTTCTTTTTACGATCAACTATTTTATTCAAGAGATAAGAAGTCTCGTGAATCAACATAAAATGCCGGTAAAACCGAAATAAACACTGACTTACTTATTCTTCGAAATTGAATTTATGGAAAGAAAACATGGGCATTTTTAATGTTGTGAACGAACGATTGTGTTCGCTTTTTTTACAGCTACACAAATAAATGGAAAATAATGATGCACATGTATGTTTTTTATTTTTATAAAAGAAATTATAGACTGTTGCGTGTAAAAATAAGTAAATGAAATGTAATGTTTTCATACCATAATTTCTGCAACCGATTCTGTTATTCTTCGTTCCATATCTCCGTTTGCTTGTGTCATTTTTGCGTTTGATTTTAAGATATTTGCACAGAGAAAATGTTAAGAAAGAGAGTAACAATAATTTTGTCAAAATTCTTATGAGTGTTTAAATGGAATAAGCATCTTGATAATTGGTTTCTATTTAAGAATATAATTAGTAAAAATTAGATAATTTTGTATCTCATGCCGTTTTTTGAAGTTAAAACTTTTGTTTTTAGTCTAAAATCGCAATTTAGAGTTTTTGTTATTAGCTTTGTACCTCCAGGAAGCTGGAGATCGACATCCGGTGTATTTAACGAGCATGCGCCAGATCTCCAACTTCCGATTGTCTCAGAAATAGGACAGAGAAGAGAGAAGGTAGAGCAGGTGGTCGTTGGCATCGTCCGTGATAATAATTGACTGACTAAAGCAATCCGAAAAAAAAAAAAATTAAAAAAAAGATAAAAAACATAAATATCAACTTGTCGATAAGATATATCCTAAAGAAAAAAACTCCAGGAATTTAGTTTTTGTATAAAATATAAAAAAAAAAAAGGTAAGTAACCACATTGAACTTTTTCTTTCTAGTGATGATTATGACCGCTTTTTCTTTTTCACTTCTGTCCGGTTTACAGTTTTTTTGTTAACTCTCTTTTAAATGAATAAACCTCTCTTATCTTCAGTTTAGTTGTCTGTGAGATAGATATAAATTTATAGCTATACTTTAAATGTCTTGTCATGACTTGATTGTGACTGGTGACCAGTAAAACTCGGTTTATTTTATGTGATTTTTATATTAAAAAGGCCGTTGATATATATTTTTTAACAGATCAAAATCATTGTTTTTAAACTTTAATTTGTTGTTCATGGTTCGGTACCGAGAACCGTTGAATGATAAAACTTTATACTCCGACGATAATGACAATGTCTATGAAGTTCAGCAGCACTTGCTTTATTTTGAGCGGCATGTAATTTTATTTATTTTTTTAATATTTAGGCAAATGTCTGGTTTTCTTTTGGCATTATCACCATATTTGATAGAATCAGTTCAGTATATAAATCGTTTTTGTTTTACTTTGCGATTCCTAATACGTAACACTTAATAAATTGAACATGTCATATTTTGTTACGTGTTTTAGTGTACTTTCTTTTTTTATTATTACTATAAGGCTCAAGAGTTGCTTAAGGTAGAGGTTTATTAAATGTGTGTGACTTGATAATATGTGTAGAAACTAAGGAAATTTTATTAAATATTTTTACGAGTACTACTGTCACTTCACTAGCTTAATGTTTTATCGGGTGATGCTATTTTGTTATTCACTGTGTAAACATTGGAGTTGTAGGGTAACGAATTTATAGATGAAGTTTTTTTTTTTTTTACTGTTTTTTTTCATATGCTTTTCTTTTTTACCAGATCAGACCTGTTATTTACATCCCATCCCTTGATTTTTGAGAGCTGGTGTAGTTTTCTGGTTATGTACGATGAAAAAAAAGTATAACCTTCGAAAATCTATTTAAAAAAAAATATGGATTTTTTTTTTCTACAGAATAAACTGAAAGTGAAAAAAGTTTGTGAGCCCCTATTCACTGTTTACAACTACTTATGCTGTTCCTTTACCATGAAGTAAAAAAAAAAAAAGCATAAATGAGATTTTTTTATTTTTATTGAAGACTAATGTTTAGTTACAGCATGATTAAGAAAGCGTGACTGACTTATTTTTCCTGTTGTGGATGCTTAATTAGAGTCAATTAAATAAATTAATCTTCTAAAAGATTTCTTTGTTTTACTACTATAGTTAGTAAATCAAACTCTAGCAGACGGTTGAATACCGCTGTTGCTGGTGTAATAATAAATAAATAATTATGATTACACTGTACAAAAGAATTATCGTTCCTTAGAACTAAAACAGACGTGCAGTATTTTGCATACTCAACAGGAAGAAAAATAATAAAAAACGTAAAACCATATTGTAATGTATTGTAAATTAAGCTTTTTATTTTCCTTATAAAAAATAAAACCGTTTTCTCGAAGTTATGGCCCATAAGTTAGCTAAAGAAAAATGAAATCTGGTAATGTGGTAAAAAAAAAAAATTTTCTCATTGTAAAAGTACAGTTTGAATTTTTTAAATATTGACAGCATATAATTCTTTCGTGGCTGTAAAAAAAAAAAATGAAATACAGGATGAAACTTCATACTAATCCATAATTCAATTTCTGTACAGTAAATTTCACGGCCTATTAATCACGTGACCTATACATTATTCCAATTTCTTTAACATCGTATCATAACGAAACTTTTTTTTCGTTGTTTTCAATCACTAAAATTTTACAGTTAACTTTTTAATAGTGGTAAACAAATCTTATCTAAATTACAATTTTAATATCGATCTGTCTTCAAATTTTCATTTCTATCATACATGTTAAAATGTATGTTTGAAAAGAACCCCCATGATTTTCCGGGTGGGGTTTCGTTTAACTTTCTGGGCACTTGAAAAACTCTAACTAAAATAGCAAACCTAACGCCAATTTGATTTCCTTTTTGAAAAACAGTAACTCACTTTCTCGCATAAGTTTCGATTTAAATTTCTACAAGTTGTCTCTAAAAAATTGGTTTAGTGCGGATTTGAACTATGTCTGAAGTGGGAAGGCAAGAATCCTTATCGTTTCGCAATGAATCATCACTAAATTATAAGTAGCCTAATTGTCCATCCGTCTCTAAATTCGTTTCTTCTTTCTTCGTTCCTTCTCTTAGTTTTTCTTTGTCAAATCTAGTTTTGTCTCATCTCTTTTTGTTTAAGGGATACCTACATAACATTTAAAAGACTTTTTCTTTTTTTTTATTTTAATTTATTTTTTAATGATTGCATTTTTTCCTCTATTGTCATTTATTTATTTGATTTATTGCATGTGACACTTTGTAATTTAAATACATGCTACTTGTTTGTTTCATGCTAAAACGCTTTACCGCCCTTTTGTCTGCTTTTTTCCTCGTTCTTTCCTTATACGTCAGGCAGGACTTGTTAGATTTTCTTTTATCACTAGAAAAAAACTGTCAGCTTGAAAAAGAAACTACTGCTTCTATCCCGTAATCGACATGCTCATCATTTCCTTTTGAAAGTAGCCGGTCACAATCAAGCTTGGTTTTTAGGGCGGTTTTTAATTTGAATAAAGATATTTTATCTTCATTTCGAAGACCTTAAAATTTTGGAAGTAGTAGATTTAGGTGCCTGATTTTGTGCTTCATTTCATATTTTAATAAAATTTTTTGTGGTAGCGGTCACTTCATACTGGTCAACTTTTAAAAAATAATTTACTTGCAGCTTTTTTTTTTTTTTTTTCGATTGTACAAAAAGTTGCAAATGTTGTACTTTAAAAAAACTAATGAATGACTGTGTCATGACTGGATATTCACGAGCTGTAATTAAATTTTCTAAGATTTTTTTTAATACTTTCTTTTGCTGCTATCAATGGATCTATTGTTGTTACTTAGGCAAGCATGTCTCCTTAGGTGACAGGCTACACTACAGACTACGTCACTACAGCAACTACTTTTCTTTAAAAATAAAAGAAAAAGAAAAAGTTACCTCAACAGTGGGTGTGACTAAGTAAAGTTGCCGGTTAAATCAATCTTTTTTTTTTTTTTTTTTCAAACTGTCTTGGGACATCCTGATTTATTTTTCCTACATGTCCAAATATTTAAAAAAAAACAAAACACTTCATCTTTTCTAAGGCTCATGCCTCCTCCTTTAGTCAATATTTGAGCCATGTCACATCGTCGTCACTTTCCTCTCTCCTTTTTTTTTTTAGTGGTTTTAACATTTTGAAAGCATTGGTTACTGCGAAACTTTAAAAATACATATGACCCGAAAAAAAGTTAAAAATACCTTTATTTTTGTTAATAAAAGCACTTGACAAAAAAATCATTTTCTCTTTTCAATCGGAAGTGAAATGGAATCAAATAACCAAAACCCCTCCTCGAAAAAAAAAAAAACGCCTATAGTCCGGTGCTAATATCTACAGCTCTGAAGTTAATGCTGGCAAATATTTTCTGAAAGACCTATCTCTTTAATGATTAATTTTTATAAAAAATGTTTAGGTTCCTATCGTGTCACACCTCTTTTGGTCGGACTGTAGTTCTAGCAACGTTTTTAGACTTTTAGTGGAAAGGATTAACTGACAACTCGTTCGTTGTTCATGACGCACCCTCCCACAATGGGATCAACCATCACCAACCCCCAGCCTTTTTTCGTCTCTATAAATATGTAGCAAAAAATTCAGTCTGTGTAGTCTGTCACTTCCATTTGGCCCGAAACACCTTACAACCTCTTGGATCAGAAGGTTGGTTAGAAAGAACTCTTCCTACTAAAACATTTTTGTTTTGCTTAACACAACTTACAAATTTAATGCTGAAAAATAAGTTTCAGCGTCTAGTAAACAATTTTCTTAATTTTTGTGGTAGGATGCAGCCATTTCTCCTAAAACATGTTGCTCATGAATTATCAGCTGATAAAATAATAGTACTTGTTGATTTTAATTTGGATCATAAAAAATCTGGACAGGGTTTTTCTTTTCTTTATTTTTTCTTAAAGAACTTTTTAAATATTTGAAAAATTTGAAGTCTTTCTTTTTGTAAAATCATTATTCATTATAACTTCAATATCTTGCACGTTTTCGTAGCTGGTTCGTCAATTATTTCCAATAACTTACCTCACCACCACACACCCTTTTCCCCCTTAAAAGGGGGCATATCTATTGAATTGTTGTCAGGTATTATGCGTCCATAGATCTGACATAAAACAGTGTCATGCATTTTCAAAAGGTTTTTACTTTTAAAAAAAATCAATTTTTTTCTATTTCAATTTCATGTTAACATTTTTTTCTTTTCTTTTTTTTTTCTTTTTTGAATTTTTTTTATTTTTACTTTTTTTTAATACCGTATTGGAGGGTGCTTTCATTTTTAGAAATTAAATATCCTGACATTTAAATTAAGAAAATTGTATTTTATTCTGCTTTAACTCTAGCAATTCATTTATTAATTGAATACATCCAAGTTTAATTCTTAATCCAAATACTTCATTTTTTTTTTTTTTTTTTTTTAATTCCTTTGGAGTGTGAAATTCATCTCACACACACACACACACACACATTATCACAATTACTGTATAAATTGTGAGTTTAAAATTTAATTTCATCATTATTGAATATCTACATAAACATAGTAAAAATGCATGTTTGTTTACACTACAAAAGAATGTTGAAGTGTTTCTTTTCCTATAGTTATTAAAATATATTTCACTACACACACACACACACACACACATGCAGGGTCTGTTACTTTGATAAATGGTATTTACTGTGTTAACAGTACAGTAAACATGACTGTTCTGTGATTAAAAACCTTTACATAAAATTACTTATTGGTTTGCATACCTATGAAGATATTGATATATTTAAATTCAAAATATCTGCTCCATCCTGCTATATTATTCTAAATGTTTTTTTTTATTTTTTTTATGGGAATTAGAAAAAAGTCTTTACTTTCATAATCTGCTTGTCCCATTCGGCATGAAATGAGCTTCTAAAATGTCGAAGTCATTTTAAAACTAAACTGGCCTTGAAAAAAAAAAAAAGTTCACTGTTAAGTCACCATTAGCCTTTATGTTCTTCTCTTTTTAAATTGAGTTAGTTAAAAGTGGCAGTTATTACACAGCAGTTACAAATAGTCTCCCCAATGCTCAGGATTGCACATTCCAAGTTGAAATCCCTTGTTAAATATTTCACTCTGGAATGATAATTTCATCTTTATTTATCTACCATTACATCTCATCTCTCTTTCTCTCCCCACCTTTTCAACCACCATCACAGATTTTCTCCCCTTTTCTTATCTACCCAGCAAGCAAACTGGAGGTGAATTATTTTTGCTCTTCTCACCACAGTGTCCAGTACTGTGATGAATGCTTTCATTCCAACAAAAATTTATCTTTTTACTTCTCAGTTATATCTCTTCAACATGCTGCCAAGTCTTGTAAATTTTTCATGTAGAAGTATCAGAATTTTTTAAGATAAATTTAGCATGATTATGCTTTTTTATTTTTTTGTGTGTGTATCTTTAAATCCCTTCATACCAAATGAATGACATCCCTCCGATAAGAATAATCACTTTTTCTGATGCTCATGAAAACATCACAAAGTACTGATTGTTTTACTACTACTTTGTAAAGAAAGACTCATTCAAAAAGTTATCTTGGAAACTGATATTTAAGTTTTTATAACAGTAAGAGAGAGCAGCAAAAGCTCTAACTTCTATTCTTTAAAGTCTTATAGGTTAAATTATTGCATGTTCCCTCTCTCTCACACACACATATCTATATATATATATATATATATATATATATAATTTGTCACTTAGCTAATTGATGTTATTGTCATCACATCAATTCCAGAGTTTCATAGACAAATGTTTTTGTAATTGTTCAGTCCACTTGTCAGGAGGATTCAGCAATTGGCTGCCAGTTTTTTTTTAATTTTTCCTTATCTTAGTACTAAGTCTGTAATTATTTTATGCACCAGTTTGGATTCTCTTATTGGTGTTAGTGATTTTTTTTTTTCCTTTTTTGTGTATGCGTCAAATATTGTTATTTTTCCTTTTCATCATTTTTTTGTCTCCTTATGCTCTCTCTATCTATGTATATATCTATCTATCTATATATATATATATATATATATATATATATATATATATATATATATATAAAAAATTAAATTTTAACTATAAGTACGCTAGGACTAATATCTGGTAAGCAGTATAAACTATTTCTTTGGTTTGGCATGTCTATTTGAATTTTGTTAGTGCAAAGAAATTCAATTTATGGAAAATTTATCAAAATAAATTTCAAACATTTAAAATTAAAATAATAGATTAAAATAACTTCAAGAATTCATTTTTAAAGTTATGTCAGATGTAAATCATTCCAACTTTTGTATCATTTGCTTAATGTTATCAATTTGCCTACTGTCTAGGCCAGCATTTCTTATCCAGGTGTGCCTCCATTTAATGGAGCAATTTATCAATTATTTTTATATTTAAAAAGTTAGGCACCAAGCACATAGCTTCCTATCTAAGTCATTTGATATTTTAAACTGGATGCTAAATTCCTTAATCTCTAAGAAGTGGATAATCCTTTCCCTTTTGCCTTCCTCAAGGGATTCCAATGGGTCATCTTGGTCTCTATGAAAAATATAGCAGATTTTTCATAAATTTCTTTAAATGAAAACTGTACTGTTGATCCTCTTTGTGAATGCTAATGACAGTATGTTTATCATATATAATAAAGCTGAATATTTAAAATATAAAAATTGCCAAAGCACCTTCAGACACAGGTTTCATACATGCATACTTAAATATACAATGTAATGTCTTTAAATTAATAATTAATTATGGAAACTTCTTTATTTTCAAATTTCATGACTAATTTCTCCTCATAAAAATTTAAAGTGTGCCTCAGATTTTGTTATTCTACAAGTGAGCTTTGAATTAAAAAAAAAAAAAATAAAGTTGAGAAACACTTGTCTAGGTGATCATAAAGTTTACAAATACTAGGCTTGACGTTTGAAGAGAAATCCTTTTACTTTTATTAAAAATGTCCGTTTTATTCTGCAAGCCAACATATTATTGTATCAAAACTGTAAATAGAAGTTGTGAATTTCTCAGTTAAATATAAGATTTGTATAATTTGTTGATAATGGCTGGTTTGTGCTGCTTTCTCCCTCTCTTAAAAAATGTTAAAAATGTTAAAGGGGAAAGTTTGGTTCCTTATCACACACTGACTGTTCCTTTCCTGGCCACTCCTCTTTTGGCTGAACTGCTTATCTGATTTAGCAGTTATTGCTTTTAGGATTGGGAAGGAAGTAAATGTGATCATTTCATCTTGGTTTCACCTCAAAACTTCATAAGAGCTTCCAGTTTTTTTGTTTGATAAACACATGAAAATTATTTTGCAACTTGTTTAAATATATATACATTGTATCAGTTAGTTGAATTAGTTTATCTATAGTAGAATTTTTAACTCCTGTTAAATATTCATAAAATGATAATTTTAATTTGCTCTCTTTTAAAGAATTGAAGATCTTAAATGATATCAGTGTTTTCATATCAGACTGATTTTGAGGTAATTTTTTTACATGTTAATATTGAAGTATGTGGTGCTAACTGTATACAGTTAGATATCATCTGCAAAAATTATCTGTAAGTCAATCTAGGTTTCTCCTATCAGGAAAAATTTAATCTTCAAAAGTTATTAAACTGACACTACTTTGCAAGATACAAGAGACGTTCAAAAAGTAACATCTATTTATTTCCATGGAAACTGCAAATATACAGAAAACACAGTAACATCACTAGATAGAGCAATTTTTCAGCTTCAAAACATTTTTTTTTTCTCTCTCTTTTTCTCTATAGTATAGTCACCATTATTGGTTGTGCATGTTAGCCAATGATTAAAAAGAACCTGCATTTTATGGGTTGACAGCTGTGTGGGGCTGCCCACAACATGTATTGTCATACTGAATCTAATTAACTGTGCTCACATCCACTGTTAGGTCTGTAAATGTTCAATAAGTATTTGTGAATGTCAATAACACACCTACTTTGTTTGCATATTCATACCAGGTACAATTTTGCTATACTGCTTCTGAGCTGCTATCGAGGACAAGGCAAAAAAATTATAGGTTATAGAAGGGAAGGTTCAGCACCTGCTGCCAAAACCACCAATATCCACCTTTGACCTTATGAAACAACTTGATAAAATAGTGGGCATTAATTTCAGGAAACACTTGTATATTTCAAAAGAATGTCTTTAGAAATAATAGCATTTTCAAAATATTTAATAAATAAATCTAAAGGCCATTAAAGTCTAAAAAAAAAAAACATGATTTGCATTCTTCAAAGCCTTGTGCTTTTAACTATTGTAATCACTAAAACCGATGGTCTCGAATTTCTAGAGTTTTTCATAAAATTGGTTATGGGGGTGTTAATAAATATAAGAAAAATATTTCTGCCATGACTTTAATAAAAAAAAAACATTTATAATAATTTCGATCATCTGTGAATAGTTTCTGAAAGTTTCATTAACATCTGACAATTATTTTTATTTTTGCAAGATTTTCCAAATTAATGTGTGTAAAAACAAAAAAACGCGCTAAAAATTACGTTATTTACTACCCCTTGTTGTGACAAAGAGAAACAAGGTTTTTTTAAATCAAAATTTAGAATATTCTAAAAAGATGTAAAAATTTTAAAAAAATAATTAAAAAAAAATTTAGTCTATCCTCTTCATAAA